TAGAAGCATTTCTTTAAATCCATAAAACTACAAAAAGCATTGCACAACTAGAAATCATCAGATTGCATATTTTGAATGAGAGTCCATACGCTAAGTTCAGATTATAAGTTACCAGTCCAGCAGGATCGATGTATCGCTGAGGGGATTCTTACTTAAGCAGCTCAGTGTAATCAGCTTAACTGTCTGGCCTGTCCCCTCCAGTAGCTAGGGGGTAAATTTTTTTCGTGGCTGCTAAAGGGGTTTCAAACTGTGTTTAACAACATGTAGTGGGGACAAGCTTTTTTAACAACATGTAGTGGGGACAAACTTTTTAACCTTATCAAACTGGCCATCACCCCAGTTTGACCTTGAAATAATAATAAAATTGTATCGAGATTTTTCCTCACTTTATCTGCATTTTAAGTACTTACACTTGTACAGCTGGTTAGACGCTGTTGACCTTTAGCAAAATTTTTTTATTACAACCTTTAACTATTTTCTTACGTAAGTCTAAAAGTATCAAAATGATTTTTTTGTTTTGTGAAATATTGAAGACTTTCAGGCAGTCAAAGGTTTTGAATTGTGTTAGCTCAATAAATTCATATGTATGACTAATGAGAAGCATATTCAGAAAAAATGTAACAAAAATATAAACATTGTTTGGCATATTATATAACTAACACTAATTCAGCTGTTTTTATAAGCTGCACCAAAGTTAACACTTGCATTTTCACTTTCTTCAAATGAGTGCAAGTTTAATAGCAATGGCCGGGATTATATTTTATCCAATGTATACAAGTGGCTGTACAGCGGCCGAGTACAGTGGCGGTAAAACATCAGAATAACCTTGACCAATCCAATGACCACTGCTACTCCAAGGATCGCCACGGTGATGATGGAATTGCGCTTCTCGGGATCCCAGTTCTTGGCGAGGCTTCCACTCAGAGCGAGAATGAGGACAATGATTGGGCTGAAGTTGTAACGGGTGTATCTATCAAAGACAAAAATATCCAGACCAAACCAGACCAAAATCTCTCCTGCAAGGACGCCCAAAACAATGGTGCATGCAATGTCCTGTTTAATGCCTATGGTGTATGACAGGACTATGGCGGTGTTCAGGAGTGAGGCAATTGTACACCAGGTGGCGTAGAAGGCCAAGCCATTCTGGACAAAGAATCGAATCATCCAGATGTCCTTCACTGACTTCATGCTGACCAGGTTCGGCGCTATCTTCTCAAGTTGGCGATGGGTCAAGAAAATTGCCACGTAGAGTGAGAAAGTTATAAGAAATAGATCCACCATGGACCAGATGATGAGCATGCGATCAAACAGAATAAGCCAAGCGACGTTCAGGACATTGTTGATGATGAAGACAAAGAACAGTCCTGTTGGAACAAGCTGTGGATCCACATACAAGTAGCTTCCCATTGTGGATTTGCGGCACATACTGGCCGCCACATAGATCAGCCATAAGAACTGTAAATAAAATACAAACAATGTTGCATCATGTGCATCAAATCAGGAAGATGAAACTAGACGTACATTAGATTGGAAACTCCCTAATATATCTTCAAATTTACCTATTGATTATTATGATTATAAACATACAGATAAATGTTGTTGTTTTTTTTTGTGACAATGCTAGCTTAAAGTGATAATAACTCTTCGTTTCGGCCAAAAAATGAATTTTCCTGGAGTAAACAACAATTTTCCCATACTTACCAATGGTTAATGAATCCATTTTTACATTCAAAGTTAGTCCCTGGTTTTTTTCTAAAAAGTTTGCTTTTTTGTTAAAATCTCTCAAGAGATTTTAACAGAGTATAGCCATCAATGGAGGTCATGTGGTCTAAAGACAAGCTCAGATATCAGAATAATAGCTATAACTGCCATTTTTGTGGTAAAACAGAATATATATTTCTATGAGTTATTCACAATGTTTTTATTGTGAAATATAGATCTCATACAAAGAGTTATTATCCCTTTAAATTAAGTAAGATTTTAAAAATGTTTCACCACAAACTACATTCAAATTTATGACTTTCATGAATCTTTTATCTTGTCTACAACAGACATATTTACTACTAACTTACATCTGAAATTCACACAGACACAATCACACAAAAACCATAACCCACGTTATCTCTGATACAAGAGATGCACTCTACTGTACCTGCCAAGTGTAGATAAAGCCCCAGATTGAGAAAGTCCAGCCAGCAGGTGTGATTTCAAGGTAAAAATAGTCCGAGACATCCCCAGTGTTGTTCAGAAACAAACCTGCAAATGTTTGTGATGGTCATTCGGTGTTATAATGTAATTATATAAAATCAGATTATATTTTAATAAATTATTTTTGGGAAGAGAGTCCCTGTAAATTTTGTCTTATTTATGCTACTTAACTGTAAATTCCTACATGGTTATTACTGTTGTTGTTAATTAAAAAAAATGTTATTCTTTTCATTTCATTATTTATTTATATATTTCTTGCAAGGAAGAAAATAATAATTTGATAACAAAGCTTCAATATACACTAAATTCATAACAGCATAAGAAATATATAGAAACATTGAGAAAACATTACAAATTTTTAAGCTGACCAATTCTTATACATTTAATTTAATTTGGATACAATGACTGTACTAATTTTTTTCTGAAAACGCAGAATTTATCCTCTCACCTTCAAAGTCTTGGCCAACTAGAGTCCAAGATGATGACAGAAAATTCATAAACAATATTGCGATGTAGACAGCAAATGTCAGAAGAATAAGCAGCATCAGCAGCGGTTTATGTCCCTGTGTTTTCATGGTTGCTTGTTGTACTGCAAAAGAAAAAAAAAAAAATAATTTTGAAATATTTTAGGAGTTTTTTAAAACATCAAAACAGAGTTTCCAATTTTTATTCGTAATGAACTAGTTAGATACATGTTTGTGAGAACTTGTCAAAACCAGTTGTGTAACAATCTCTTACGACAAATTAAATTGTCAGTCCAAAAATTAAGTGCTTCTTCGATCCCCTTATAATCACAGGGAGCCTGAAAAATTGGGTTAATCAAAATACACTCCAGATGGCAGCACCTCCTTCAATAGGAAAACATGCCAGTCATCCCAGCTGGGTTTTCATTTAATAAGAGGCACTCGTGTATTTCTGCATGTCAATTATAGAAAAACTCTGTATTTATACCAACTTGAAAACTGCGGCACTGATGTCACTGCCCAATTAAGAACTAAAGACAGCTACAGGGTAGTACTGTACGTACTTGCAGATTTGTGCACCATTCACAAATCTCCCAAATATCAACAAACTTGCAGTATATACATGTACACACTGTATGCCTTCTACTTTTAAGTTCCCATAATCTTTTAAAAAAGCAGTGGTCCACAAGCAATTGTAAGGTGGCCGGAATTTCAAAAATGAGTCTGAATTATCCATGGCGTTTTATAACAAAGCAAGAAATGTCCATCAACATGCCTCAATTTCTTAACTGATATACACAAAAATTTATATACTTGTTGTCTTTATTAATTTTGTACATGTTGTTGCACTGTACATCATCAATAAAGTACTGCAAGTCTCTTGCTTACACAAAATTCGCTCAATAAAACCTCATCAACACATCACAATACTAGAACTCTACAGTGTCAATTATAAGAGATCCTGAAGTGTCACTGATGCTCATCCCCTTGATTTTAAATTCTAAAAAAACTTCGTTCTAAACTAGATAATTTCACACTTAACAACAGACACAAACAAACTAGCATACAGTAAACTAATAAAGTTATTATAAACTTATTTTTATTCAATCTCGTTTTGCTAGATATTCAACTCACCTGAGTAACCCTTGTACTTTTTCTAAGTACTCACGCCTGTTACACCTATTATACCAGATCACATTTACATAAATGAAAGGCTTGTATAACATGGGTGTATCCGCGTGCACTGCAACGTGCCGTCCAAGCGACCCAGATTCAGAACGAGGCGCAAAAACAAAAACAGATTTTAAGCAAACAATATTTTATTATTTAATATTTGCAGTTTAACATTATGTGGAATAATAATATATAAAATATTATATTTTTATCAATAAAAATGTACATTTTAAAAGTAAGATATTTAAAACTAAATTTTGTGAAGAAATTTTGACACAAAGAATAATAAATTTATGATCTTATAAGACCTGTTTTCGTGGGTCATCGGACGCACAGCAAGTCATAGCAGTGTGTTCATATAACCTGTTGTTTTTTGGGAAGGAAGTTGTCATTCGATTATCACTGAAGGTAGGCTCTCCGAAAATATTGTAAATCAACGAATTACAAATGAAAGTTAAATTAGAATTAGCCTGCTGTTAGTCAAGTTTAAGTTTTTATGTACAGACACAGANTAAAAAACATGGTAAACTTGTTATCATGTATTGTGTAATAAAGTGTCAAAAATGGAAATAAACTCATATCATTGCAGTTTGTCAGATTCAATCATCCACTATGTTCAGAATCTCAGAATGGAGGAAATTGGACATTTAACACTGTTCTATTGATACTTTTCCCATCTCATCAATTTTCTTAGTTGGTCATATAAAAATGGCAGTAAAATGTTTATTTTGTTTTATGTTAAAAAAGTGTTAAAAATGGAAATAAACCCATTTCAGGACAGTGCTGTCTTGTTTACATTTTGGCATTTTCAAGATGTGACTTTGAAGTTCCATGGGCCTGAAGACCTTTGCTTGTCATGTTTTCTGAATGTCCATGTTACTAATATTTTATTAATAACATTTGATGGTTATTATGCTGTTAAACATTATGTAACGTTGCATCAAAATTTGAAGAAACCCCTATTTAGGGCACTGCTCCTATGATGACCATTTAAGGGAAAACATGTCACTTGCTGTTCTCAAACTTACAAGAAAGAAACATGGGTCTAACATACAGCTTCAATAGGCAATGCAGTCTGTTTGGTAAATTTTTCTGGCAATTTAACAGTTTTTTGTGAAAATTTAATTTTTCACTTATTTGCATCTTTATTTTCTGTTTTTTTTTGTCTGTACATTTGACAGCTTTGCTGCCTTGTTTGGAACTCAAAACGGCCGTTCATAGACAAGTCTTGCAACGTGAGTTACTTCAGTTAGACTCAAAAAACCTTAATAATTTAACAACTTTATCATTTTTCCTAGGTATACTCTGAGTTTTCAAAATGGACGTGAATTTTGAAATTGAGAAAGAAGTTAAATACAAGCACCATGCAGCTTTTATGCTGTTGATAATTCTGACAGTTTTGGGGTTTGCGGCTACCTGCGGCTTCAATGCCGTTTCGAATGGTCCAAACGGTGAGTAAAAAATATGTTTACTCCGATTAATAATACAATGTAGAAATGAATAAACAAAGTAAAAGATGATAAAGGAAAATATGCTTAGGATTTTCATTTGGATTATTTTTTCATTGTTTGAATCATTAATTTAACAGTATTCACATGGTTTTCTTTTCTGTACTGTACTTGCTGGTATTGGTACTGGTATTCAATATTCCCCAACAGTCATATTTATGTCCTGCAAAGTTTTTTGTATTTCCTGAATCACACCTCAAAGATGGTAAAACTCATTAAACGACACTTTATTGGATTCATTCCCAGTGTCGACACTATCTTTCCTCAGCTTTCTCAGTTTAAAATAATGAGTGACAGCTCACAAGCTCTGTACCAGTATTATACACTGCAATATACTAGTATAACACTGCAATATTTCTTCTCACATTTTCAGCCCTGTTTATAAACAACACAGGGGGTGTGTCTGATGCTTACTACTTGGAGATTACTCCCGCTGGATGGACCTTCTCTATCTGGGGGATTATCTACTTCTGGCAGGTAGGGCTTATCTGTGTGTTTTAGGTATGTGTGTGTGTGTGTATGTTTGTGTGCGTGTGTATATTTGTGTGTGTGTTGGGGGAGGGGTGAGGAAGGAGAATCTTGTTGTCCTTTACAGCATATGAATATTTGGTCAAAAATTGAATGTTTTGTGTGAAATTTGAGATATTATGCAAAAATATCCCCATTTGTACTTGTATAGTTCTTAAGGTTTGATTTATGAACAGTTTTTCTAAAAAACAAGCAAACATAAAGTGCCATAGTTAGCTCAGGAGATGGATGCTACCTTGTGAGCCTTGAAGTAGAATGGTCATTCTGTATCTATAATGAGTACCTGTGGAATGTCATTATGTGTATATAGGCATAGCCATTGCGTCATTAGACAGATGGGAGCAGCAGATAGAATCAGAAATTATATGAACTTTGACTGACATTTCCCTAATGAGTTGTCTAAGAGAAGAAAATTTTAATGAAGTATGAATTGACTGCTATTGCAAGGATGGTGCCCAAATTAAGTTATCTTTAAATTGTACAAGTTAATTTACCATCTGATGATCTGGTGTACCATTTGTAGTTTTAAAGTAAAAGTTTTTATTCCTGATACAGTCAAGAATGACATATTTTTTACACATTAGCATGTGGGCACAGTGGCAGACACATATAGTACTAACGCACACACTTGTTATAGGGAAAAAAAAACAATTATGATTTCACTTTGTTTTCCACAGGTGTGTTTTCTGATCTACGCCTTGGTAAGTCTGTGTCGTAAGGGACCTAAGGGTTATCTGTACGTCAACCCAGGCCTCCTACCAGCAGGAACTTTCATCTTCTACATCGTCAACAATCTCTGCAACATAAGCTGGCTGTTTCTGTGGGACAGACAGATTTTATGGGGGGCTCTCATCGTCATCGCCCTGATGCCTTTTACACTCTGGGTCGCCTTGGTCTTCTGTCATCTGCGCCTTGACTCTATCGCCTATCAGCTGATAGGGATGAATTCTGGGAAGGACATCTGGTTGATCCGATTCCTCGTGCAGAATGCTATGGCCTTTTACGCAACCTGGGTTACCATAGCAACGTTGTTGAATCTCTCCATGGTGTTGAGCTACGTCACAAAGGCTGTAACACAGGATGTTGCATGCACAATTGCTTTGGGCATCCTGTCTGCGGAGATCACCACATGGTTCATCCTAGAGACCTTTGTGCTGGACCGATATGTGCGCTACACCTTTGCACCATATCCAGTTATAATCATGGCTCTGATTGGTTCCATGTCCAAGAACTGGGATCCAACCAAACGCAATTCCATATTTACTGCGGTGCTTCTTGGCATAGCTGGGGTGTTGACCATAGTGAAAGTATCTGTCATTATTTATCGTCATATCAAACGACCATTGTATCAAAAAGTGGAACCAATCACTTCCAAACCCTTTTAATCATTTTTATATGAATTTCTGTGTCTGTATACCTCATTTGTTTATTGTATATATTTGGATTTAGAGATTAAACTCAGTTTGCTCATTACTCTTTAGGACCAAAGGAACTTTCAGTAGTTCGTCTTTTAGTCAATAATACTCCATATTGCACAAATATTATTTGACAGTTGAGAGAAGTATCATTTATTAGATGCTTTATTATTTGTACAGTATAGCTTTTATAATTGGAAATCATACTTAAAAAATTTAAAGAGTGCTAAATTTCAAACATTAACATAACTATTTTTTCTTTGTTTATATATAACTGTTATTGCAAAAGAAAAATAATAATTATAGAACATTTTTATGTATTAAGTACATTCCCTGTGAAGTGTTGGAAATTGGAATATTTAGACAATGAGGTTATCTGAACTGTAACATTTGAAATACCCTATCAGTTAAAAATATCTTACGAACAACGAAATTAAAATACTAGTCCACGTGGGAGAAAATAAATCTACTACATGTAGTATGCAAGCATATATGATTTTCTTCACTGATTGTTATTTTAATGTAACTATTTGTGTCTTCCAAGGCACTTGTACAGAAATATTTTACTTATATTTACATTGTACTCCTATGCAATGCCAAGGCCATCTTCCACTTACATGTACATCCATATTTTTTTGAATAAACTCTTTTACTTGAAAAAGGTTTCTTTCATTTTATTGTTGTCAACATGAGTGGATGTCAGTCATCGATTAAATTTGTCAAATGAAGGCAAGTTATTCCGAATGTTCCATTAATGACCAAACATACAGTATGTACTTTCTCATTCATCTTAGCAGCCTATTGTGTCTATAATGGTTTGTAGTGATACAAAATCTTCTTCATCCGAAACATCTAAATAACCAGGGTAGCCTTTCTGTTTTAAATTGCGAGAAGAAGTGAAGCTGAGGCAAGTTATCGGAGAAAAGATACAAGACGTTTGAAGGACTTGCATATAGTACGGGGGGGGGGGAACTAACAACAGTAAGGACCTTTTTATGTGGTCCCTCTTATTAGCCAAAGCTATCCTTGGCACACCCTTTTTGTAGAGCATAAATAAGTGACCCACCTCCAGTAGCTACAGTGCACCATCGCCTATAAAACGAGAATACAAACACAAGTTGAGTCGCCTTTAAAACACGGGCACGTACATTTGATCATTTATTTTGTTTTGATCAGCACAAATAAATACCGAAACAGCAATTGCGGTAGTTGAGACGTCTTCAAGGTTACAACAACCACATCTACTTCAATGCACGTTTTTCGGTACAATCGGCCAGCCAAAATATCCATCAAATCTCAAGATGATCGGTAAATGGATATATTGGACTGTCTTGAGAAATCTTTATGAAATTGAGACGCAGTGCCCTTCTAAGATTCGGCCCATGAGAGGAGTGTGTATTTCTCAAATTTCAGGAGTTTGTGTTGCCGCTGAAATGGCTGCTGTTCTTAATTTTGAACGTCATCACTTCCACCTTGCAGATCTGGTCTCATCTTTATTTATATCACATAAAAATACATCTGATGCAAATACTTAATTTTGATATTTTCATATTGATGTCGATATACTAACTGGGCCTGGTTATCATTATATAAAATTATCAAGTTTCAACAAACAAAATTGAAGCGCAAATTTCAATTGCAAGGGATATTTTTATTTTGGTATATTTCACTTAATTTTGATATTTTCATATTGATGTCGATATACTAACTGGGCCTGGTTATCATTAAATAAAATTGTCAAGTTTCAATAAACACAAAATTGAAGTGCAAAAATCAATTGCAAGGGATATTTTTATTTTGATATATTTAACTGCTCTAATCCAAATTATCGGTGCAGTAAAGTCACTAATTGTCGTCTCGCGTGTACGGCCAGCACAACAATTACGTGAGACAGTGAGGGGGCCCTGAACGAAAAGCAGTGGACAGGCATTAAATAATTCACCATATTTTTCTGGCACGGCATCGATTTTTAGTGGCATTAGGTGTGGAGTCAGTGGCTAGCGTTAAAGACTGAAACGGCACGGATATTCCGCATAGATGTTAAATTCTCAACACACAATAATTGCTTTGATCATTGCAAGATTCTTGCCATTACATTTCATTGTTACAGGTAATGTTACACAATCGATAATACAAGAAGTTTTCATACATTTCCGCTACTAATGATTAAACAGCTTTAATTACAAAATGTCATCTTCTTTCAGTAACGGAAATGAGTTCTCAGCCTTCACTGTCACATCTGAACAGACTGAAGTGCAATTTGTATATGTTATAGTTTTTTTCCTAATTTTAATTTTGAAGAAATAACGTCATCGTCTTAATCTTCTTTCATCAATATAGATCTACCAGAAATAACATATCAAACATGCAACTCTGGAGAAGTCTTTTTTAAAAAAACAGAGATTTCATTATCACTTCTGGCGTCATCAGGACCCATGAAAGGTGCTTTTGGAAGTATTTTGACAATGTTCCGATACAATAAAAGTGCTGGCTCTGTGGAAGTATAAGTTATAAAACATCCGATTTATTTAAGAGGCTGTCAAACACGATTCAATGGCGTTATTGCTCTTAATAGGGGGGGGGGGGGGCTATAGGCCTATCCATCCCTGTCTCTGCCCCTAAAGATTTTTTTAATTGAATAACATCACTTGTTCATATGGTAACGTCCCTGCTATTAGCTGCACGAATGCCCCTGCCCCGAATGACACTGTAAGGGTGTATTTTCTGACAGTTACGTCATAGGAGTTTTTTTTTATATCGAATGACATGCTATGGGCTGTGGTGATTTCCCTGGCATTATAAAGGTGTGTTTTTTTTTTTACATTAACGTCATAGGTGTTTTGTGTCACTTGGACACACTTGAGGTGCTACTTCGTGAGCTGACGAATTCCTTCATGTCATATTTGTGCGTGAGACAGGACGCAGACGGCACACGTCGGTACTTCGGCCTCACGAGCCGGACGTCTTCCTCTGACTGATAAGAAACTCTGGCCTGTATATTGAGGCGGCCCGTCTGCATGTCCAAGTATCCGTACCTACACAATGTGCGGTACACGTTTGTGTAAATATCATTATGGATCGACCTGTCCTCGCAAAAATGTTCGATACTTTTGAAGCACTCTTTACAGATCTTCTCTTTCCCATGAATTTCGAGGATCAGTTTAACTCGAGCTACGTCACCGATATTTTCGGCGAATATTTTCTGAGAACGGAGAAGTTTCAAGACCATGTGGTGAGCATTTTCTCGAAGCATTTCAAGGAGCCACTGTTCGGCGTGGTGAAGTCTCTGCCCGTACGTTGACGGGCTAAATTCCTCAATCAATGCTCTGTCTCGTGAAAGGTGTAAGATGTACTCTTTGGCGGGTTGGGTTTGTTCAACATTGGGCATGCTGTTATAAAACAAAGCTGTGGAGATGCGATCCGCGGAACGAGCATCGTAGCAGGTCTCATAATGGGACTTTATAGGTTGCAATGCCGTAGTTTTGCTGATGCATTTTAATCCTACCCACTGGTCTTTCGTGGTTTGCCAGTTGATGCACTTTCCGTCGTACGTGTCATCGCTCACGAAGGCTGCCAGGTACGTGTCCGAGTGCAGCACGTCCTCAAACGTCCCACACGCGATATCCAGGCCACCCAGAGTCCCCGAAGGCGTCACGTAGCCATGGCACTGGTCGTATATATCAGCGCCTGTCGGCCAAATCTGCAAGCGTATTGCCGCCGTGCATATGTTTGCCCGCGCAGCGCCCAAGTGAAGCTTCTTTTCTCCAATCAAGCACAACTTCTGTAGGGAACTGTGAATCTCGGAGGATTGGGGGCTGGCAATGGTGATCACGTCGCTGTCTGTGAGGTACTCCTGCGTGACCAGGGAGGGGGAGTCCGGGGGACCCGGGGACATGGTTGGCGGCAAAGGGGAGGGGTTCTCCTCACGCTCGGGGCTCGGGGTTGTGGAGGAAGAGGTGGAGCTTCCGTTCAGGCTGTGGCCCACATGGTCGCGGTGAGACGTGCCACGGAGTTGGCCATGGTCCCTGTCTCTGTCTCTGTCTCGATGGTGCTTACTGCTGGACCGGTGTCGAGCACGGAACTCTATACCCACATCAGATTCGCTTCGTAACATATCCTCTTCGTTTTGTTCCTAGAAAGAATTAAGACACAGTGCGTTCATATTTTATTAACATTTTAAAAATGTAGAAACATTTTTAAATGTGGGAACATCAAAATGTGGTAGGTTTATATAGGTCAGATAAAAGAAATGAATCCCTGTAGTACGTGACAGTAGGTCAATACTGCACCTAGACCCTTAGATAAACTACATGCAAGACCCAAATTCCATAATTTACATAGTCATCCTTGATAATGAAATGATCGACAAGATAGACAAGTTGTTGCCAGGATGATAAAAACAGACAGATATGCATGTAAAGGAGGCCAAGTAACTGACAGCGAAACACACAAAAATTTCATGATTAAATAGGAACTCATGTATGTAGTTCTACCTCAGATATGAATGCGATTGATTCTAATGACACTTTAAAGGACCTACCCCAGCACAGCTCTACCTACCTCAACTGGGCATAGAATCTCAGCCATGTTGAAATGCAATTAAAATATCTTTCAAGCTACATGTATACGCTATCGTGCGACAAAATGTCCCTTTCGGTATTGAAAAGCTTGACTTTCTCTTTCTCTCACGAAAGTTTGACGATATTGGAATAAGATTGTGACGTTTATAATTATTGCTAAGCCTAAAGACCCATGCAGATTGTCGATGCTAGACGGGGGGAGATCTGGTGATTACAGGGGTTTTCACTTGTTACCAGATAATTAAATGACAATCACATGTTCAAAGTGCGCCAATGTTAGAACTCTGTATATTGTCAACATCAAAACCAACCCAGCGACCCCTCCTCACATAACCGATGAATTTTATAGATCAAATTATCGCTAAGTCATAGCACAAGGTTTCTGTGGACGACCAGCAAATGCTCATAATTGACTTACAGAGTGCATTAAACGTGTTGTGACGGTAGTCGGCACAACGATAAATCTGTGTCGAAGGCTTAATGGAAATCAATTAATAGATTTCACTGCACGACTTACAGGTATTGTTGCATGGGTGAATGGGTGGGGATAGTGGGAGGCTCGGTCTAACCTGTATTGGAAATTATTTTTCTGATACAAAATATATTCCCTTGTCTATCTTTCGACAAAAGACCCCTTCTGATCGAAAACCTGATGATATTATAAACATGCAAGATATATTTTAAGAGGTGATGGACAAGGGGGGGGGGGGGGTGTAGCGATGGCTATTAATTTCAAAAATCGTGTTGTCACGTAAAATATCCAGGATCGACCCTGCATTATGCCACAACAACAAGAAATAACGAGTCTAAGCTTTGATATTCACGATAATTACTCTCAAAATGTTTAAAAGGTAATTTGTTAGTTTTTAAGGTCGGGGAAAGAGCATTTGACTTTCAGCATTTTTTACTTTAAATTATTGGTAGTAGGCCTACATGCAGAAGTATATTTTGTTCTTTGATAATGAGATTTTTGAAACCTAATCTATTCAGCATCAAATTAAAAAGCGTGAAATATTACACCTTGATTCAATGCCATATCCTGCTGTATAGTCGATGTTTAGGTGAAAATCTCTTTAGGATT